GGGCACAGAACTCCAGCGCCACTCGCGGTATCTACATCGACCGTCTTCACGCGCTTCACAGTAAGCGGGCGCCGCTCTTGCCACTACACCCTCTAGAACACTGTCACCCGAATTCACCAGAAAACGGCCCCTAGCCAGTATACCGACGTTATCAGTGGAACCGACTATCATGGTGGATTCTGAAGAGAACGGCGGCGTCTAAAGTACGTTCATCGCCTCCGGCTGGGAGATATCTTAGGGGTCTGCTGAACACGTTTTGAGCTGTCCTGGATAGCTAGGTTCGACATTGTACATGTACCTTTTTTTAGTACACGGAAGTGACGTCATCACGTCTGATTGGTTGGAAACAAAAGTGACGTAATTTCCCTAGAAAAATGTGGGCGGAGTCGGCAAAACTGGGCGGAGTCGGCTACCGGACGTGACAACAAAATGACGTTTCGTTTTGTACCGAGTACGTTTCAAAAGGTACTTGCTCGGAACTAGGTGTCATTGGCAGCATGTGTGCGGCGGCGAGGCGTCGCCGTCTCGTCAATTCGTCTTTTTCTTTAATAGAGCTTTTTTTTTTTTCGCCAGAAAGGCTGTATCGGGAACACCGCGATGCATTCGAGCTCGCGGAGGAGATCTTTCGGAAGCAATACCGCCTGCCCAAGATCGTGGTGCGGTGGTTGTGCGACGAACTTCGCGAGGAACCGGAGGTGAGGAGAGTGCGTACCTCAAGGACGGTCATGACTGTGGAGCTTCACGTGTTGTGTGCACTGCACTTCTACGGCACGGGGAGCTTCCAAGGCATGGTGGCGAGCGACGAACACGTAGCGCGGGACCAAAAGACAGTCAGCGTTGCGGTCCGCGCCGTGTCCGTCGCTATCGTGCGTCGTCTCGGGGTCCAGCGTGGCTGGATCCACTTCCCCGAGACGCCGAGCGAGAGGTTCGACGCGGAGAAGGGCTTCAGGCTGCTCGGCAGGATACCCGGCGTCATCGGTTGCGTGGACGGGACCATGGTCTCCATCGTCGGTCCGTCCAAGAACGACCCCACCGTCACGAAGGCGGCGTACTGGTGCCGCAAGTACTTCTACGCCCTCAACGCGATGGTGGTAAGTACACTCATGTTACGTTGTCAAAACGCGTCCCAAATATGTAGAAAAAAAAACAAAAAAAAAACGTTTTGCCGATACCGTTTAAGTATGCCGTTTTATGACTGCGGGCTGTGGGGTCTCACGACTGCGCGAGCGTGTGCTCTACGTAGCATGTGAGCCGTAAGACTCTTCTCCCAAAAATAATATTTCTCTGTTAAAACGTGCAAGCTTCCGTAAAAAAAAAACATTATTTTTGTTTCAAGGTAGTTAGTTGTACCTTGCATCCAGGAAGGTGTGTTGACATGCATGTGTCAGACAAAATAACTTAAAAGCTTCTGAAAATGCGACTGCTTTGTGAACCATAAGTACAATCTACTACTTGTGGATTCAGGTAATTACATGTCAATATCTCTCTCACTTTCAGGTTTGTGACGCCGACTGCCGGATAATGTGCATCGACCCACGGTATCCCGGGTCGGTGCACGACTCCTTCGTGTGGCAATTTTCTTGGCTCCGAAACCAACTCGAGCAAGGGCAGGTGCCACGCGACGGTCGGTTCCTGCTTGGTGAGCATATTAATTCATTCCTTACGCACACGGTGGCTCCCACTGCTTGAAAGCCACAGTACCACACGTGCTGTGCTTGTTGTGAGGCACACAGACACAGTTGCTGGAACTCCTTGAAGTGAGACAACACCCAAAGTTTGGCCATTAATCTCTATTTATGTCCACATAACTCTCACACTCTGCAGGCTACGAAAGCCACACTACACCAATCTCACGACAGTGATAGACTATGCAAGGAATGCGACCGCAGTGCGAGTCGCTGTCCGGTTCGGCCCACTCACTGTTACTGTCTGCCTGTACCCTCTTGCTGGTTGGTTTTTGCATGAAGTTGGAGCTCTTTCGCTGATCCCTGGGGGCTCGCGTGGTCGCTTTGGCGGTCGTCAGTTTGTACGGAATGGGATCAATTCCTCCTTGGCCACTTGGGGCTCGCCAAATCTGTCGTCGGGTCGTCTCTGTCCCACACACTGGATTCTTTTCCTTGACCCTTCTTCTTCGGTCTGCCTATATAGCTCCTCCTATTAGACCCTCCGTGTCCCAACAGGACCTGACTCCTTTCCAATCTAACCACCCCCTTTTTTTTCCCCATCTCCAGCTCCACTGAGGATTAGGAAAGAGGTTCGTCGAACTGGCGCCTTATCCCCTTGCTTGCCAAAGACAAGGCCAAAGTGTTCTGCTCTGCCCGTGCCTAAGATCACGGCCACACTCCCAAAAGCAACAGAGCTTTTATCTGTCGGATGGAAGGGCCTAATAATGCACTTGCATACAACACAGCTCCCCTAAGGAATCGTGCACACATCCCATACAACCCACCAGGAAAACACATAGTTACATGAAATAACAGGGAGTTTGCAATCAAGCTGGTGCTAACTAATCATAATGTAAACTGATACTGTAGTGCAGAAATATTAACACACTTAAGTTACATTATAATTGACATAATTGCACACAGCTGTTTTCTTGCCTTTTATTTTAAAAAGTAAAGAATGTAATATGTTCCATCCTCTACATGTGCAGGTGACAGCGGCTACCCCTTGGAGCCTTGGCTCATCACCCCTGTCCCCGGGAACCACGCGACCTCCACCGCTTGCGGCCGGTTTAATAAGGCGCATTTTTCGATCAGGTCTGTTGTGGAGCGCTGCATCGGGCTGTTGAAAAACAGATTCCGGTGTCTGCAAAGGCACCGGGCTCTGTATTACCACCCTTCAACAGCCACCGCCATTATTTCGGCATGTGCAGTGCTCCACTACATCTGCCTTGCATCGAGCGAGCCAGAACCGGAGTCAGACTCCGACCCTGAAGAGTCAGAGTTGGAGTCTGAGCCGAGCTCGGACGGTTCTGAGCCGAGCTCGGAGAGGTCAGCGTCGGCTCCCGAGAGGCTGGCTCCTGCCGGCCCTCCGGTCGGCCTTCCGGTCGGCCTCTCGGACAGGGGGAAGGCTCTGAGGCAGCGCCTTGTCGCCCGGTTCGGAACCCGCCGCAGACGTGCCCGTGCGGAGCGCCGCACGCAAGGGGTCCGCCGCCACGACGGTAGTCCCGACCACCAGGGACTCCGTCGGGAAGCCCCTCAGCGCCCTCGCTGCGGTGGTGCCCAGCACGGACGCCGCCAGCGACAGGGAACCTCTCGCCACCACGACTGAGGTCCTGACCACCAAGGACCCCGTCACATTCTTGCCCTCAGTGAAGCCCTCCCCGTGAAAGCCGTAAAGTGCACACTTCGCTTCCTGCTCCACAGTCATGGCCGTCCACAAGCTACATACTCTCTTCAGCTCCTACACCTTGTGAAGTTCGTCGCACAGCCAGCGTGCTGCCTCCGGATACGTGTCGAGTGCATCGCAGTGAAATCGATACAGCCTTTTTTTTTATTTTTATGAGCAGAAGGCACGAGACGCAGTCGACAGTGACAGAAAAGGTTCGGAGGTTTAGTTGCCAGACCAACAGGTCATCTGAATTGCCCCTGCAAAGAACTTAGAAGTAATTTAGATTACCTCTAGAAAGAAATGCTTGCTTTTGCAGAGATTGCTTTCTTAGTTGCTGATTGAACCAGGGATATTGTTGTCATGGACATTGTTTCATTTTACAAATGCTTCAAAGCGTCTTGCCTTCTGCTCCATTTTATTATCTCTTTTATGGTACTTCATCAAAGTTAGGTGATTGTGTTATCTCAAGACAGTGCACATGTAGTTTGTTTTGAAAATTGCTTTATTTCTTAAAGAAAAACCTGTGACTTCATGAATAAAAGTGTGATAACATGGAATGTAATATTTCGTTCTTGGAAGTAAAACTGAGCATCGACTGGAACCATGTAAGCAATTGGGCAATCTTAAGTATATATCACATATATCTTGTTGAACACTCTGGTCTTATTTGAGCACAATAGTTAAATTTCGAAAGGAAAAAAAATATATATATATTCTCTGACTAGCATACCACCATATAAACACTGGACCACTTTGAAAGAATTATCACAGATGTTGCGCCAAACATTCTTATTTGAGCACAGCAATAGCAAGTTCTCGAAAGATAAAAAAATTGTTTCTGACTAAAGCAGCCGTCACTCGCGCGCTCCCCGTTGGTTCCGCCGACCCCTCCGCTGCCCCCGGCACACCCGGCTCCTCGTGGTTCGACATTTTGGTTTGAAGAAGGCGCGTAGCGCACATCCCGCATAATATTGGAACAACTTTCTCTCCAATTAATTCTTAAATTTATTGCAAAAGGGTACAAAAAAGCGGTTTGTTTTAACAACGCCCAAAAGGTTTTGATTGTTTTTCAATACTTTTACCTGTACTAGAACAGATGCGACGGCCAGCGACGCACAGGATTGGTTGCCGTTTCTTCGCTAAACGCAGGAACTGCTCCCCGCGTCGTAGTAAATCCTACCCCGTATCCCGCGCGTAGGGACGCCTCAGGGAATGCGTAGCTACTTCCGCTCGTCGGTGGTCGCTGAAACGGGTGACGGGCGTCGCTGAAACGGGTGACGGGTGTCAAGTTTGCGATGACGTAGCGGCGTCAAAGTGGGCAGAGCCGCCACGTGAGTGTTGCTAGGATACGCTCCTCCTTTGCATTACGTCACTTCCATGTACCTTTTCTCAAATGTCCAACCTAGCGATCCAGTAGCACTCTTCTGCGGAATACCAAACGTCGCACATGCCTTCAGACCATTCCGATGACTCAGCGTTTTTGTTTTCTGTCTGTCTGTTGACAAGCGGTGGAAAGGTGTACAATATCAGTTGGAATGAGCTGGGGGACGCTGTAGGCTGTTCCCACAAAGAGTGCTTTGTCATGCGCGTCGGTTAATTGTTGATCTTTAATTCACCACATGTTTCTACTGTTATTGGCTGTCAAAACATTCGCGGGTACACCGCAGGTATCGCACGGACCTTCAAGGATCCCGACGACCATTCCTGGGTCTCCTTTCTGTGGACGCTGGTTCCGCCGTACGCCTTTCCAGGTTCCCTGATGAAAGTCCTTGCCATCGACAGACGCAACAGCGTCTGCGACGCTATGCGAAAGAAGTGGCACCTCGAAAATGGCTCGCTTTCGGAGGCGTGCCCTCAACATCTGTTGTCATGCTGCTCCGGTGAGTCGCTTATGGGTACGCCGTGGTTCTGGTTCGCGGTGGATGTATAGACGCTTTACACACGCGCCAGGTTACATGCCGCCATTGCGCACACCAGCTCGGAGCACGTGGAGCGAAAGCTCGCGCTGCAGAACCCAGGGATCCTGGGTTTGAGCCCCCCCCTGCCCGTTTCGATCTGGATGAGCATCGTACCGGCGTGCGGTCGTGTATCACTACTGCGTGATGCACGTTAAAGACCTCAGGCTAGCGGTTGTACCGCACTGGCTAAATTTCTCATCTACAGCTGGGAGACTCGTCGCGCCTGTGAGGCAGACCAAGTTCTAGGCTGTATAAACATACACACAACCCAATGTTTTGTCTGTGCTACCTTTTTTCTTCTTTTTTTTTTCAATCAACGTGAAAAATGGGTTTCATATCTTTTTTTTCTATTTTTAATATTGATTGTGTGCCTTCAATGACCCACGACTTTGATTAGATTTGGTGGTCACGTCGAAACCTTAGAAAACGGCCCGTGACCACGGAAAAGAGAGTGAGCGCGACTCAAACCGGCCAGTTCTCGATCGGCGGTTTTCGGGCGGAAAGAAACCGAACTTCGAGCCGCAAATTCTGTTCTGGGTAGTTGGGCTCTTTTATGTCACGTACAACTAAAAACCTCGGCGAGCATAAATACCCTGTCAGTGTCCTATTAAGCTCGACCATAGCCTCCTCTATACTCACAAAGCCTGGCAGTTCGACGACGGAGCCATAGAGTGCCCCCGGTCGCAGATTTGGAGCGCGAGGATCTGGTAGCAGAGAAGATCAAAGAGCCATTTCGCGGGGAACTTGGACGTCAGCGCACAGCTTTTGCAGCGGCGAGGACCCCAAACACACTTATTCGCTTGGGAGAAGTGTGTTTCGGCGTCTCGCCGCAGCGGGGCGCCAGTCACGTGACTCTTCTCTCATCCGTTGTCTGCCGCTCCACCTTTTCCATTGCGGCGGCCGCTTCTCGTGGCGATCTGCCAGGCTTTCTCTCTATATAGAAGGCTATGGTCGTGCTTTGCCCGCGCTCGCACGCTCCAGGTTCGAAGATGCCAAGGAGTTATAGAAAGCAATGTAAGCTACGGTGCTCGCCGGACCAATCAGACTCTCGTTTTCCATCAACTCGCACCGCATTTTCAACGTATCTGCAGAGAGTAGGATCACGTGGTGGAAGACCAACGGTTCACTGGTCCAACGAGAACTCAGTTTCCACCCTGTCACCCTAGCGGTGAATAGACTACACTCCGTAGTAAAGTTGTAATTTGAGCTAGTTGGTACTTCAACGTGATAAAACAGAGCACCATAACAGAAAACATGCCTTTTATTATCTTAGACTACACGCCGCATTTTTCTCTCGGAATTCGCCAGTTCGGGAGTTAAACCCACGCCGGAGCAGGCAGCGTGAACGGACCTTTTCAGACAGGCGGTTAATGCGTTCGAAATCACGAGCCCTATGCCCGAACATGCAGAATGTACCATATTGAATTGTTTACACTATATATTTTCTCTTAAAGACATTGATCAACTAGAAGCTTTTGACTATAGTGCGATATTCAAATAAAAAAAGTAACTAAATCTTGAAAACTTTGATTTGCCACTTGTGGACCTTGGATGACGCTGTGTAGGAACCTCGTATAGTGACTTCCGACGCTTTGCACCGAAGAGTTCTAATGCCAAAGCACTAACTGTCCCATGGAGCGAGCCGAAGTCATCAGCCGCGCCAAACGGCAGATAAATTTCCGAAGCCGCAATCTGAGGCATCCCAGCTTTGTAACCACGCCGAAAGCTATGCAAAACGGCAATGATATGAAGCGGCCGCGCGTCAGTTTGAATTAGCGCCACCCCATGGCGCTGCGTGCCCGAACCGGAGTAGAAACGGCCGAGGCGGGCACGCAGCGCGGAGAGTATCAAAAGCGGCCGCGGCGCGAAGAACGACATTCATGCTTTCGCATTCACAACTCATAAGAAGTGCTTAGGTGTACTTCGAGTCTTTCTGAGTGCAATGTCGGCTAAATGTATACCTCTGAGGTATCCAACAGCTTCCTATTTTGTGTTGTTTCCACAAGCATTGACTACCATGACATACTGTACAATGATGTGCGTTTCTCGGTCGCAAGACTACCAGAACACCAGTTTCTGGTACACCAGCAGTCCTCTGGGCTTCCATCGGCAAGACGTCGGTCTCGTGTGCCTCAGCATGGTGTTGGAAGGGGTCCTCCTGTTCGCCCTGCTCTCCTGCCTGGACTCTGGGATCCACGTCTTCCGGTACTCCCTGCACAGCCCGACGCCCACGTCGCCTTCCGAGAACCTTGACGCGAACGTCAAGAAGGAAAAAGAAGCCGTCCGAAAAATGTGCTCCACGGTAAGCCACCCCGGATGAGCCCCTGAGACGTCGAAATTCACACCGAATGTTCAAAAACAATTGAGCCTAATAAATGTCCAATCGATTCCATGAAAGTTCCACAATCGCGCTTCTGTATTCGCTGACAGGGTGAGAGCAGCGTGGTGTCTCTTTCGAACGCTGAGCCTCCAGCACGCGCACGTTGCTTTCTATCGGGCGTTCAAAAAGGACGCCGGGCAGTTCTCACCTCGGTGACTATAGTTGTTGCTCTCCCCTGCTAGATGAGACAAAGGCAAAACTGAAGTTGACATCTCAATGGATCGCAGGGTGACTTCAAGGGGGTCGCAGTGGCGGTGGACGACCTCAGCAAGTGGTATGGCCGTCGGCACGCGGTCCGGGGGCTCTCCTTCGCCCTCAAGAACCACCAGTGCCTGGGTCTCCTCGGCGTCAACGGGGCCGGTAAAACGACCGTGCTTCAGATGCTCAGCGGGATCGTTCCTTCCTCCAACGGCGAAGCGCACATGCAGGGCTTCACGCTGTCCCGGAACCGCCGCGCGGTATGTAGGCCTACCAGTGTCTCTGGTATTCGCAATACTCCAGCAGAACGGACGGCACCTAGCGGGAAAACACTAAACTGACCGCCACAGGTCTTTTGTAATTTCTGTTCGCCTCGTGTGGCTTCCCTGATTTGCATGCTGTCGGCGGGTGGCGCGATGGCCAACGAAGAATAAAGCGAGAAAATTTGCGATTGTTGTGCCGACTACACACTGCAGAAACGAAAACGGCAGCAACTTCACGGCAACCGAAAAAACCGTGACTCATAATGGCCTAACGAATTAGGTGTAAAGCCCCTTCATGTTTCAAGAGTAGCACAAGGTGCGTCGATGCACGAGACACGTTCAACGCCCAGCCCTTGGGAAGATCATGTCGGCACAGCGCAGCACTGAGCTAGATTTCAGACGCCATGTTCTTCCCAGAACACCGGCACATGCCTCCCCCGGCAACGAGGCGGCTCACGAGCTAGCTCGAGGTTTATACCACCGGGCTGGTGAGGACCTCCTCTGGCAAGGGAGCGGTGAACGCATGGTAAAATATGGGGAAATTACTCAACATTACAGATTGGAACGTAGGCTGGTACCCCCACCAGACCCGTCATTAAATAATACGCAGGCAGTCGCGTGGCGACGACTCCAAACATACACGTACCCACACCCAATCCTGGTGAACCATATGTTCCCGGATATAAGATCAGACGAGTGTACACACTGCGGGTTGAGAGGGTCCCTCGACCATATAATCTGGGAATGCTCAAATTCTCCTGGGAGGGCGCTAAATATCGCTTCTAAAGAATCCTGGGAGACCCTGCTGCGCAGTTCGGACCCTGAGCTCCAGCTCCGCCTCGTCCGACTGGCTGAAGAGGCCGCCAGGACACAAGACCTCCTGGCCAGCATCTAAAGCGGTGCCTCCTGCCTCCCCGGCCTGGTGCCGAGGGGGAGGGGAGAATGCCAATTCTGTCGGACAATAAATGTTCTTTCCTCCTCCTCCTCCTCTTCCCAGAAGCGCGACACGTGTCTCGAGCATTTACACAACAATGAATGGCGCCCCTTTTCCCACGATAGAGCGGCTTGGCATCGCTTTTCGTTTTGTGTGGTTCAAACGGGGGTGCCTCAATGTCCTGTTTAGGGTGATGCCACCCTTTGTAGTACCCGATGCCGACAGCACGCGCTCACGGATAACATACAAAGATATCGACGAAAACAAAATGTCACCTTAGCACAGTCAGCCGCAAACACGTGCAGCGACAGGCTCTTTCACGCGCTTCTGAACAAAAAATAAAAATAAACGTGTGGGACAAAATGGCCAGATGTCTCCAACCTAAGCAAAGCGCACATGAAGGCACCCTAGTGCAAACAGTCGACCCGGTGGCTCTTTCGTTACTGTCTTGCCAGTGTGTTTTTTGCTCTGAACACAACCTACGTAACCGCGTGAAAGAGATATTGTTGTTTGATCAGCGTTCATCAGCGCGGCAGAAGGCCAGTAGGTAGTCATTCCATCGCTTCCCCAAAGAAGACTCTGGAAGCTGGCTTGCGCCAATGGGTTTTGAACATGGAGAATAAAAATCGGAGTACATATATTTGAAAGCCAAAGCTTTACTGATTTCTCAAGAGTTGCGGCCCCTATAAGCCCTTTCATCGAAAACCTCGGAAGGAGGCTCTTTTGGCAAATTACGCCCACGCGAACTTCCTGGTGAAATGAGAGGACACACAATTTACCCAAGCATCAGTTCTTGAATTGTTCATAAAATATTTTGTGACTTGCCCTTTAGGTGATTAGCTAAAGGACCATCTAGCGTGGAAGTTGTTGGAGATTTTTAATACTCCTGTAAGACGACCAATTCTCTTTTATATAATTTATAGCACAGCAGAAGGGCCTCGCTATAGATCCCCAAATTCGTGATTTCCGTAGAAATTCATCGTCCTAGAAATTTGGCATCAACAGGCTTGTAAAGCATAACGGAGTGCCCGGAAGGCACTTGGGGTGCAAGAAGCGGCTTGTGTTTGTAAACAGTAAAAGGGTTGTGAATAGCGAGTATTTAGTGGTGGCCATAGTTAGAGACCTGCATATCCTCGGCTCACCCGCGGACTATCTGCGGATACCCGCAGAAGACTGGCGGATGCGGATAAAAATGCATCGGATTTTGCGGACTGGGGATCGGATGCGGATATCCGCGGGTCCGGATCTACAGTTTTGTTTGTCGAGGCGGTTCATAAACGTGTGCGGCCGCAGAGTGTGGAGTGAAGAAGTGAGTGATATATAATACGAGGTGCACCACCGAATGTTTCGCGGGAGCAAATTACTCTCTTTAAATAGAAAGGCTCCAATCGGGGAGAAGATCATCACGAACTATCGATTTAAAGCGGTCTGACTCGCCGAAAATGCTGTCCCCACAAAAAGTATATAAAATTCAGGGGCATCAATCGTCTTAGGATAGCGTGTCCTTGTTGGACAGGGATGAGCAGAAAACGTTCTTCGGCCAGAGAGATCGACCCCAAAACGTGCAAGCCACAAGAAAGTAGAAGTTTCATCGAGAAGTGAAACTTGCCGTGTGTGTCTGTGCGTTTTTTTTTTTTTTTTCTCTCAAGTATTTGAAGTTAGTACAGAGCACGCAGTTGTAGGTCCGTGTTTAAAACTGAAAGGAACAGGAAGTGCTGCCATAATTGAATATTGTCATATTTTCCTAGTGATGTGCTCACGTCTTACCACTTGTAAACAAGGTATACAGTGCGATGAGAAATCGCGTTTCCTCTCCCAGTTTTTACTTTTTATCTCAGATGAGATGACGCAAATATAGCTATTGAAGCTAAGTAGTTTGGGAGTCTTTTTTCCCCTTCGGCGAAGTTTGGTCAAACCCCTAAAGAGTTAAGGCGCTTCGACTTTATCAGGGGTCGTTGCGTGCGGGTATGACAACTGCAATAAAGAAAGAAGCGAGAGGAAGTCGGTGCTCAGAAAAGAGGAATGGGAATTACAAGACCTTGTATTGGCGCATACGAATGCGCTTCGTGCTCCCCTTGTTGCTTTAACACGTACCACCCCCCCCCCTTTTTTTTTTTTTTTTTCGTGTTCAAATGCAGAGAAAACAAGCAACCGCAAAGCAGGCCTGTCCATTTTTTTATCGCAGTGGCAGTCGAACATCGGATACTGCCCGCAGTATGACGGCCTGATGAACCGGCTGACGGCTTACGAACAGCTGCGCCTCTTCGCCAGGCTCAGAGGCGTCCCGCCAGGCCTCGTGGAACGCGCGGTGACCAGAGTCGTATGGATGGTCGGCCTCGAGGAATGGGCCTGCAAACAATGCTTCACCTACAGGTGGGTCATGCTACAGACTAAAACTTCATTTCTGCTCGTATTGGGTGCCTGAAAAGGGCGTCGCCAATAGAAGGTATTCGCATGTCGTCAAGAGAGCGAGCAGTGATGTGTACCGTCACTGCTGTGACACCGCCAGAACTGCGGCTGGCGACATCATGATAGTTATACGACGTCACCAGGCTGAAATCGAGGAACCACTTTTCATCACGCGTGGTAAAAACACCAGTCGAAGACGTGTTTGAGACGCCAGATACTTAGAATGATGTTATGGAGGCGCCAAATATGCCGCATGCGCAGAACGCTCGAGGAGACACCCCTTTCTTTCCAGCGGCGGTAACAAGAGGAAGCTGTCCCTAGCCATGGCCATCATCGGTGTCCCGAAGCTGCTGCTGCTGGACGAGCCGTTGTCCGGCGTGGACGCCATCGTACGCAGACGAATTGTGACCGGCTTGAGACTCGCCATGGAATCGCTGGACGTCGCTGTCGTCTTTGGGACGCACAGGTAACTGCCGCAGCCGGGGAGGCTCCAACGATCAGGATGAAGGCAACGCTTAAAAATCTGATTTCTTTTTTGAAGTAGTCATACTTCTCTGAAAGCATACACTCTAAGAAATCTGGTGCGTCCTATATGCGGGGAAGCGCTTTGCGGGAAAGTAGGTGCACTGTATTTCTTATTGGAACGCCCAGGGTTGGCTCCGCAGTCGATGCCATTGTAGCATCAGCTGATAAGAACCCTGAAGAAGGAATCACTAACAAGAAGCATGAAGATTACGTGCTACTTTTATGCTGTCAGTGACTACCGAAGTCACTCTTTTCTTCGTGAGGTGAGATCATCATCGGCTCTACCGTGGCGCGCAAGCTTGTAAGCTATAGTTGAGCCTCACTGATTATTCACCGTGGAGCTGGATTGTGGGTGTTTAGACAATCGCTCCAATCGCCGGCAGGACAAAGAGAGGATGTAATTGACCGCGCGTGGGACAGGTGTTGTTTAGCGCGACTCGGTCGACGAACCACGGCTAGAGGACATGCTTAATAGACCCTTTTCAAAACCCCATCAAGCAACCCTGACAACCGCCATTTACTGAGCATGAAGCACGTGCATAGATCCGAGTCTGACGCAGCCCTCGTTCTCGGTACGAGCTCGAGCAAGTTCACGCCGAACGCTGACGAAGATGTCGTGTTCAATAGATGTTCATAGCGCGTGCCCAGGATGTGGTGGACTCGGACTGCTGGTGCGGTAGCTTCTAAAACAAAATGTCGCCCTAACTTTAGTTATTTGGTAGTTGCGTCACGGGAACTCTCAGTGAGTGAAAGCCGATACCTAAAATGTTTTGCCATTAGCTCAAACCAGGCGGCCGAGCAGGATTTGTCGTCCGCTTCGTGTAGACTTCGTTGCCAATCGCCCAGGTTTGAAATTTTCAGATCTCTTGTTCTATCATCATGTTTAACCATAGATAGGAATAACTGAATCTAAGAGGGTGCACAAATAAAAAATGTAAAAAGTAAGAAAATAACTTTTGGATGGTTGTTTGTTCAGAAGTCCTATATACAGCGCGCTGGAGCAAAGCGACTCAGGACGTCTCCAACGAACCTTGATAGCAAGCCCTTGTCTTTATTTTGACGATTGTATGAAAGAACTTTTGACGCTTTTTCTAGCTCTTCCGGTTTTGGTGTTGTTAATTCCGAGCTCCGAATGTGTCTCCCTTTGGCAATGTCGCATGTTTCCTGCAAAATGCGTAATCGGGACAAAGCCGGGACCATGGGTAAAAGAGAGTGGCCGCAAAAACAGAAAAAAAAAGGCAGTAATTTTACGCTTAGTTCATGATGGTTGAAAATAGTAAAGGGCGTTAACAGTGTCTTTTAAACAATTGATCCTTAACAATATAGGTACCATAGACTCCAGAAGGAGGTTTCATTCTAGAAAATTTTTTAGGGACGAATGGATTGGTAAAAACACATAGTCTTACATTTTGATGACCGATATACTAAAGTATTCACTTCATCCTCAAACACGGTGCACGACTGGAACGTGCTGCCTGATTGATCAATAGAGCTGGCTTCATTTTACTCGTTTCTTGATGAAATTATAATAGTGTGAAGTTTCCGTTCCATTTTTGTTTAGTTTTATATTCCCGTTTTTGTCCCATAATTTCTGGACTGTGTTTTCTGCATTAGGTATTGCTTTATGAACACCTACTGTAATGCACTCTAGTCGAAGCAAAGCTGAAATATTTTTAATTATTAATTGATCAAGTATGCTCGTATTTATCTCAAGAACCGTAGTAAAAACGTTCGTCCTCTCGCGGAATGTTACTAATTTCTCCCTTCCTGCATTGAATTAATATGCATATAGGTGCGTCTTAGATTAGTTTTATGTTTTAGTATCAGAAGATACATCTTTCAAAAACAAAAATTACTGTTGTTTTTTTCTTTCGACAACCGCATGTCGTAAAAAATACTTCGCGCCGCGCATGAAGAATGCGCAAAGCGTCCCTTTTCCTTTATGTGACGACGAGTAAGTAAGTAAGTAAGTAATATTTATTTTCAGCAATATTGTGCTGAGGGCACCAGACAAAAAGCTTCCATGAGGTAGCTTGACTGGGCCTGGTGCCCCTGCACTTACAGGGCATTATAAAAAAAACAAGTACTACAGAATACACTTTGACTAAACAAAACAAACACGTACATCTTTTTTTGTTAAACAGTGAATATCATTGTGGTCTATAAGGAACTTGTTAAGTAATGAAGGCAGGTTATGCGCAATAGATTGGAGTGCATAATTTGTACGAAAATGAGGCACGTTCCAGAACTCTCTGCGTCTGACAAGGATGAAGGATTCACGTTTTGTCAGATGGGATACATTAGACAAAAAAGAAGCAAACTCAGCGGTCGAAAATAAATAAGAACATAGCAAACGGTACTCGTATACACTGGCAATCCTCATGATGTTGAATTTAAGAAATAATGGCTCAGTATGAGTGTCGTAAGGCACGTTTGCAATAAAACGCAGCATTTTCTTTTGTAGGATCGTGAGTTTGTTAATATTAGATTTGGTTGTTGTGCCCCAAACCAAATGACAATAGTTAATTTGTGAGCTAAACAGAGCATGATAAATTTGCATTTTAATATTTACAGGCAACAAGGAGCGACAGTGGCATATTATTCCAACAACTTTTGACAGTTTCGTAACTAAGTATTCGATGTGATTATCCCATTGCATATGTTCTGAAAAAATGACACCTAGCGTTTTGTGCTGTTTAACTATTTCAATCTGGTCAGTTCCAATCTCTAGAGTATAATTACTAATAACGTGCTTATTTACAGGTCTAAACAAAATTGCTTTGGACTTTACAGTGTGATTCAATAACAAAACAACACAATAAAATTGAGGGACAATTTGGATGATCCAGCGTGCAGGAATGCGAAGCCCTCTGCGACACGGTAGGCGTCATGGCCGCCGGGGAGCTCAAGTTCCTCGGTTCCTTCGGAAGCCTCAAGGAGAGGTTCCAGACAGGCTGCATCGTCCGCTTCAAGCTGAACGTCGATGACCAGCAATCGACTCTCGCGGCCGCTGTTAGCAAGGAACTTCCTGGAATCGACCTCAGGGATGCCCACGAGGTAACTTCGAGCTCAACCACTGCAGAGAGCAAGTTGTCTGCTTCTTGCTCAGGAGTTGCGGTGACCTCAGAAGGACGCCGAGCTTCACTTAACTTCGATTGTAAGGATGGTGGGTAGACCTCAATCTTAAAAACCTGTAATGTCTACCCACTATGTTTTGATCAGCCAATAAGAGCTCGGCGTGAAAGCACAGCGTGAAAAGCGCAAGTCACTGGGTCTTCCCTGTACGCGATTGGTTCAGTATTGGTAGAACACACTATATCTACAGATATATGCCACACTTCCCGCCAACAGGGATCTCATTTTTTAAAGGTCTTCCCAGTTTACGGTTCGTCTGCACATTAGAAAAAGACGGTTTAGACGCATACTGATCGCAACATGATACACTCTTTGAACTATGTAGACTTGGTGTCCTTCAAGTCTTGTGCGTTTTGCCCTTCAGGGGACGCTGGTCTTCCACCTCAAGCAAGGGATTCCTTGGAGCGTCCTCTTCGACAAGCTTGATCGTCTGCGAGAAACGTTCGCCATCGAAGAAGCAATCGTATCCGACATGACCTCCGGGCACGCCCTTTCGACTCTGTCCAGTGGCGAGTCAGACGCGCTGTCTTTCGGGAGATCATGAGCACGAACAGCTAGTGGTTCGTTTCCACATAAACAGCTTCCCCGGAATGAAAAATAAACAATATGTTCTATAACGACTACATCTTCCGAATTTCCGCGTTCACAGAAGCAGACATCGGGGATGCGCCGTTTCACGCTTCCACCTTTCTTTTTCAGCTACCCAATCGAAACACATCTTCGGAATACCTTTTTCCGGTATCCTATTTATTGGGGAATTGTAGTAGACCGTTCCCGCAGCCCGCTAAGCACCCGGATAGCGCTTCGTAATCCGCCACAAGACCTTGAACTCTGCAGACAAGGCTGGTGGCGCGCATGCGCAGCTGCGGCGTTTTCTTCACGGATACCGTAGCCGAGGAAGGAAACGGTCTACTACAATTCCCATAATGTCTAAACTCAAAATAACTATCGTGATAACGGAAAGTAGCGATGATGCCAAACCCAACGTCCCAATTTTCCCGCCCTCTCCCGTGGGGCGACGTCACTTGCTGCATAACTTGCAAGTCGAGCAGGCAGTGTAAAAAACACTATATTGCGTATGCTTTATATTTGTCTGTCTTCTCTCGTTTCGTTGACGTAATTTTAACCAGCATTAATTTCATACATTCGAAATTCTCGTAATCCGTCGGGAACAATTACTCTACTGCCCCGACATTGTCCGATATTACGACATTTGACATCAAGATCGCATTGTTGCCAGGAGAGCCTTTCAGCTCCTATCAAACCGAATTAAAAAACAAAAAAATTCTTGAAAAGAAAAAAATGACAGTACTCGTAATTTGGGTTAATAGCCCAGATGTTTCCATCGTGTGTTCAGCCACTTTTAAGGTAAATCAGCATCAGCGCCCAAAAAGTATGATCACGGTGGGGTTTGCTACCAGCGGCTGAACTAATCACAGGATAGCGGCGCATTCACTGAGCGTGATTGGTTGATTAGGTGATAGTAAACGCCCAAAGACGATCAGCCGCCGTCCGGATACACTTTTGGCGCTGGGTGATTGGCTCACCAGGATGGTAGCGTCGACTGCGGTCAGGCTTAAAGTGAGACGGAGTATAATTAGGGTTTCGTGTTTTCGGGATAAACCCCGAAAATTAACTCACAAGACTGTTTTATTAAAATCGGAAAAAGCGGGAAAAAAACGATTTGGAGCTCTCCTTGACTAAGAAAACCCAAAGCTACGTGAAGTGAAAATTTTGTGTTTACAGATTCATTTTATGGCAAACCCTAAATAGAAACCCCACTGAACTGTCAGTGAGGCAGTTTTATTCTTGGGAAGAACCACATCCCCTATCTCATTTTCATTTCTTTACGGAACAGATACCTTCTCGGAGTATTCAGGTCATGGCCGAGATCATAGCCTCCTCTATACTGACAAAACCCGGCAGATCGCCACGAGACGCGGCCGCCGAAAGTGAAAAGGTAGAGCGGCAGACAACGGATGAGAGGAGAGACATGTAACGGGCGCCCTGCGGCGGCGAGACGCCGAAACACGCTTGTCCCGAGCGATGGAATCTCCGCTCGTGCTCCTCGCCTTCCTCTGGCTATCGCTCCTTTTCTCGTCAAGTTTGAAAGCCATGTTTCGAGTCCTCGCCGCTGCAAAAGATATGCGCTGAATACCAGAAATGCTCTCTGCTACCAGATCCTCGCGCTCCAAATCTGTGACCGGGCACTATGGCTCCGTCGTCGAACTGTCAGGCTTTGTGAGTATAGAGGAGGCTATGTCGAGATGTTCTCTGAAGGTTGGAAAATTCCATTCCCGTGTCTTATTTTCTGAAGCGTAAGTCCTGATAAATGCCGATTGCTTTTTTTTTTTTTTTCTTCAGACCCTGGAAATTGACCCCGAAAAACACCGAATCTGTGGGGAAAAAATAGACCCCGAAAACACACACCCCATATCGAAGAAAAATAAATTCCCAAACAGGAACCCACTGTAAAGTTAACAGATCCGTTTCAAGCGACCAAGCATAAAAAGAAAACGTAAAAGGCAGTCCCCCTTTGAAGTTGTCGTGAGAGGATAAACTGAGTCCTAACTTTTTTTTTTTTATGTAAAACATCGCTTCTTATTGGGAATGAAATTTTCACTTCATAGTCCTCGCCCTGTGTGTGCACCCTGTTCCTGTGTGTCCCCCGTCTTTTTAAGGCTGTTTTATCTTTGTTTTGACGTCAGTTATAGTCGGTACAGGTAGAAAATGCAGGACAAGCTCGTTCCACAAAGCCCTCCACTCTTTCCACTTTAGCAGAACAAACACTGGAGAAGAGGCGAGAGGCAACGCGCCTCCTCTTTATAGTTCAGTGTGAGAACAGTAGAGGGCTTTGTGGAAAAAGCTAGTCGCGCGCTATTAACCTGCCAGCGACTATCCCATACAGAAATTATTAATGAGTTTCGATTGAGTTTCTAATGTATTCCTACCTATAGAGTACATTAGAAACTCATTGATATTTTTTGTAAGGAATAGCCTGAATTATTAATTTTTTTTGCTCCAATTTTTTTTTTTTTTTTTTTTTTTACACGGCTCTGGAACAGGTTTTTTGCAGTTTCGCCTGCCCCGCAAATAACCTAAACGACAAAGCTTTTTTTTTTCTTAGGAGTTTCGAAAAGCATGAATGTCGTTCTTCCGCTTCCTTAGTTCGTCTGCGGCGTACTGGCGTAGACGGCCACGTTTCGCTACAGCCGAGGTAGCGGCCGACGGCGGAGCGCGCGCTCTCATGAAGTGGCCGCGCCGCGCTGAGCTCGGCCGTGCAACCTCTCTGGAGCGTGCCCATGCGGGCGGCCCTGAGGCCACCGCTCCCTTTTACCGGCGGCCGGGCCGCTGCGTGCGCTGCGCCGCCTTGCAGAGGGCTTCTCTGGTGGCGTTCCTTGGAACTACGCCGCGCGAGAGCCAATGGGAGCCTCGTTCCTTGAAGCTATGACTCGCGACAGCCCATGGGAGCCTATCCATCTGATTTCTGCTAAGGACAACAGGCTTCGCTTCATTGGGATAGGGGAAGCTAGGTGGCGTTTGGCGCGGTTTCAAAAGCTGATAATGTTGGTTCGCTCTGTGGCACCAGTTAATGCTTTGGCATTAAAACTATTTGGAAGAGGCCGTGCAACTATATTGGCGTTGCCCGCATAATCGCGGGCAACACCAATGAACAAAAAGCTTCTTTTGCAGCCGCGTAATTTCAAGAATAAAAGCGGACGTTTCCTTTCAGTCCAACAGAAGGTGACAAGCGGGTGATGGAGATTGATCTGCTAAATCCTTAGCCTGTCAACGACTGCTTTCTCTGAATCCCATCTCACGTCAGAATGGACTTTTCCCCCGATCTTAGTTCGCGTCCGTCTCCCGCCAATGGCGATGGCACCACTCCCAGAATCACGACACCTACTTCCCGCGAAAGACGTTGCTCGATCGTCAAGTGTCGCGCGCCTTTTTGCATCTGCCCAGAAGCCGCCGCGAAGCCGCACACCCTCTCTCCAAATTACAAGGAAGATATGGCACCGCTACAGAGGCACTTGGACGCCAAGGCGGCGATGTCCACGTGCACAGTGCACCCCTCCGGTTGGATTTTTCCCGAGGCAAAGCATCTTGAAAAGTTGCGCAGTTTGAATGCAAGCAATTAGCCGACGACGTTGCATTCCCTCGTTGCGATAGCGTATTTGCACGGTCGTTGAGCGTCCGGCGACAATTGTGCGTTCCTGCGACAAGCGCGTTGATGAGTCAGCCACGGACGTCAGGCGAGCCGCTCATCGGGACGTCCGTTGCGCCCTCAAGGCGGACGGGACACCTGTTCTAGTACGCGGACTTCGTTTATAACGGACATCGCGTAAAGATCTGAGGGTCATCGATTAAGGAAGCCAGCGTAGTTCGTGTGACTTGGAAGCGAGACAATTTTCTTTTCAGCAACGAAAGGTTTTGTTTGTGTTCAATCTTAGTAACGGGAAGTGTTATATCCCGGACATGAAGTTTGAGCAACGCCTTTAGCGAGAAAAATCTCATTTTTCAGTCGCGTTTCGGTTGTGCGTCATTGCACTACCTCACACTGCTCGCGGGCGCCAAGGCAACACCTCGTAGGTAAGAAAGCTTAAGCGCTTCCCTGCGTCACTAAAGAGGGCCAGCGTAGGCCAGAGATTCGACACGACTACGGCGTCAGCGTTCGGCTACGAGTCGCGTCCAATCAGTGAGAACACGACCCTTGGCCAAACTCTGACGCCGTAGTCGTGTTCAATCTGTGACCACGGTGGCCTTTAATGACGCAGAAAAGCACTTAGGCTTTCCTACTTAGGTGCTGTTGAACAAGGTGGCAGGATTTGATTGGCTGATATAATTTTTTTGAAATATAGTATAACAAGAACGTACTAACACCAAAGAAAACAGTCTTATCATTTTGATAAAACACCGAAAGCTTGAGGTACACCTTTTCTATCGTTTATCTTATTTTATTTTTTCATAGGCTTTGTTACAGCGCGTCGACAAATGCTGAAACACGCTTTAAACGACCCTCACTCTAAAAAATGCCCGTGCGTCTTTTTTTCTGCACAACACTGGGAGAACCAATCGGCGCAACATACGGAGGCAGCTCAGCAAATGACGATGCCGAAACATATGTTTAGAAAAAAAACGCAGTCCGAGTTGTGACATTAATCAAAGCAAAACGTCACGCTTGCTTAATGTCACAACTAAGACTGCGGTTTTTGGTCTAAACGTATGTTTCCGCATCGTCATTCGCTGAGCTGCCTCCGTAAGTTGCGCTGATTGGCTCTCCGAGTCTTGTGAGGGAAAGTAGACGCACGGGCATTTTTTACAGTGCTGACTTGCGCATAATCAAACACTGCGCAGCTCCACTTTATGCTCGATACAAGCATTACATGGTCGCGTCTTAAGGACGCACTCGGCCCCCCTGGTCGAGAGAAACATACCTTTGCTTCATCATATAAGTTCGAGAGCAGTCGAAGGCTCGAACATTAACACATATGCTGAAAGCGCAAGTTATCGTGCGTTCGCTGCGCTTGCTTTGTTTAACACATGATAGAACACAACGAGAATGATGACAAAATGTACCATTTAGTGTAAGACTTGTTTTTACATTGATTGCTTCCTAAGCATTGTAGTGACAAAAATACCGTTCAACAGACGTCCCTTCTTTTTAGCACTGGGACTTTTTTTTTTTTTTTTTTTTTAGTAAAGACAGTCATGCTTTAAGAACTTCGGAAATAAACATACTTGTTTAGCAAGCTATAAGTTATTTGGCGTCTGATATTCACTGGACAGCTATGTTTTGCGCTGGAACGCGATGATAGCTTTAATCTTTTGTGTTTGTTTTGGTTTACCTGGAGCGGAATTTATTTTGTTATTGTAGCTTTCTTTTGTACAGTACTTATCTACCAATCCCAAATTACACTCCGCATTGTTTATGTTCTACTATAAGTATCTAATTGGAAAGTTTAAAGGGATGCATGCAACGGTTTTTGTAGTTTGCGCAACAACCGCTTAGAACGGATCCTTGACGTTAATGACTTGTGAAACACCCGTTCGTTTTTCACTACACGCAATCAAGGTCGCGGAAAAAATGTGAAAAAAGAGCAGCTTTTACTTTCTCCATTCGCAGCCAGAACAAGCGGCTACGTGATCTGGAGCCGATTATATGCCTTATTGTTCCGCCAATGTTGATCATAGCCACACGCTGCAGGGTTTTCAAGGCACAGGACACGCGCTGAGTTTCAGACATTGTTATGGTTCGGCTACTGTCGTCACTGCAGCGATTGAACACGAGTCACTACCCGAATACATGTCAAGCTATTGATTCTCACGAGTCCAAATTGAGTGCCCACGCAAGGCTCGGTTCCAACTTCCAAGCTATGAGCCGCATTCAAATGACGTGACTGGGCGGTACTGCAACCGCCCGGCTACGTCATCAAGTCTTGCGAAGGAGAGATTGAATGAAAACGCTCGCTTTCGTCCTTGAAATTCCACCGCTTCAAAGGAGTTTTTTGGCCAGTGGCGTTGCGTGCGAGTATCCCTGAGTCCCACTAGTGCCAGTAAGCTCGTGTAAAGTGAAAAACATGCCAATTGAATATCGTTGGACCTCCCCTTTAAAGTTATGTATGTAGAAATTTTTGGCATTTCAATTTTACAGCACTATCCTCACCTTAAATTATATATAGTAAGCGGGTACCTAATTGTCAAAACCACTTCCGGATTCACGATAAAAACCTACTGAGCACATTTCCGATTACATGGACTTACCTACGCGTTATTCTACACCTTGGCAGTGAACGAACTGATAGCAATCACTAAACACCTTTCTTGTGGACGTGCATGACGACACTTGTTAATTAAACAACATTACTCGATACTATTAGAGTTGAATTGTACAAGCAACCTATTATAAAGAAAGCGCACTAATAGTGTTATAATTTAAGACAATTCGAAATGCTGGTTCGAAATAACACCGATACAGCACCGATGATATTAAGCGCTTTCATAAATGATAAAGAAAGCATTTCCTTAGATGCCTGCCACTGCGCACAATCGTACATTTATCACTTTTCCGCAATAATGCTTTTTAAGCACTTTAGGCTAAATTAAATAAATACGTTTATGTAATATATAATGGTCGTTGATTGCGCAAACCAAATTTCGCCTTTCATTCACGAGCCAAAATTTGATTAATCGGCGCGACCATCTGACCCAATCCGACCGTCCACAACGAAGGCAACTCCCCGGTTTGTATCAACGTGGTTCTAATAACCAGTGCGGTTCCATTAACCGGAGCTCACTAGAGGAAGGGTCCTCGCTCTTTATCCGGAGGAGAGCTTACCACGAAGACCTTGAATGGACGAGACGCGTGTTGAATTACAGAAGGAAGAAAACCGACAGGGTTTCTTTCGTTGTTTGTTTCTTTCCTTTTTGTTCTTTTATTTTACGTTTTGCTTACGTGTTGTGTGAGTGGCTGAACGAATGGGGAAGTTTTGTGCGCGCGTTAATCCTTGAGCGAGAAGTGACTCCGACGTGCGACTACCGGCGACGCGACTCGGTGACGTAGTGATTTCAGCGAAAGAGATCTCTCTTTAAAAGTCACTCTCCCAACTGACCGCGCAGAAACTCTGGAATAAAGCTCCCGCCGTGTGACCGCGCTGTACCCGTCTTTTGATAGCACTACGAGGCCTTAAAGGTGAGCTATCCTCTTGTTCTTATTCGCGTACAACCAACCCCTTTCCCGTGTGCTCACGCGGCTGTTTGAAGTAACAACGACAACGTATACCGTCTTTGAATGTTATTTGAGAGACATCTAGAACGATCGTCGCGTGTCTGTAATTTATTCGGAATAATCATTTTGTGTAAACACACCAACTCACGGAAAGTTGTTTTTTTTTTTTGGTGGTGGTGTTATTACCCTTGATTTATAGGTTCATGGGGTTTGCGTTTCTCGTTTTTGTTTTAAAGAAAAAGAAAAAACAAGAACTGAAAATACATTATTTAATTGTACCATAGAATGCGTACTGCTTCAATGCTTTCCAGGTCTTTTCCTTTTTCAGGAATGGTTGTCATTTATGAAGTAGTTCTACCAATTTTATTATTGTTTAAAGGGGCGATGTAACAACTTTTGTACTTTGCGCAAATACCGCCTAGAACGATCCCTTACGTTAATGACCTATGAAACACGCGTTCGTTTTTCACCTCATGCAATAGAAGTCCCAGAAAGAAATTAAAGAAAAACGAGCAGGCGTTCACCCCCTCAACTCGTAGCCAGAACAAGCGGCCACGTGATCTGGAGCCGATTATATGCCGCCAATGCTGATCATAGCCAGGCGCTGGGGTTGGGGAAGCACAGGACACGCGCTGAGTTCCAGACATTGTTATGGCTCGGCTATTGTCGTCATTGCAGCGAGTGGACACGGGCCACTACCCGAATGCTTCTCGAGCTAGTAATTATCACGAGCCCAGATCGAGTGCCCACGCAATGCTCGGGTCCAATCTATGAACCGCATTCAAATATCGTCACTTGGGTGTACTGCGATCCCCACGTTACGTCATCAAATTTTGCAAAGGAGAGATTGAATGAAAATGATCGCTTTTGTCCTTGAAATTACATCGCCACAAAGGAGTTTTGTGGCTAGTGGCGCTACGTGCGAGTATCCTTGTTTCCCACTAGTACCAGTAAGCTCGTGTAAAGTGAAAAACATTCCAATTGAATATTGTTGCTCTGCTCCTTTAAGAATCTCTACGGGAGAGGTAGTGTCGCAAAAGTCGCCTATACATGATTAGCTAATTTTATTTACATATTTATTTATTTATTATATACCTACATTGCCCAGAGAGCATTATTGGATTACATGAAATAATTACGCATTACACAAAAATATAGGCTTCAGAAATAAAAATAAAAATTGTAATTCAAATTATATACCAATTGGCCCGAATTGCCATATTAAAGCGCATCTAGCACGCAAATTGTAAAATTGGAAAAAAGAATTAAAAAAAAAAACGTGGAGGAATCGAACATTTTGTGGTCCGCGTAATTTCAATCGAGAAGGGTGGGAAAAAAAATGGCTCGCCTTCTGACAATCTTTTTGTTTGATTTTACTTTTTTTTCAGGTCATCAGAAACGAGCACAATGCAACTCACCCTACAGTTGTGCGTGTTCACCTTATTAACGCTGTCCGCCACTCTCCTTCAGCTTTCTTCTGGTAAGTGGTTGACAGGTCGCTTTTATTGGCACAAGTATAATTACTTGAGCGAACTTCGTTTTGCTCAATTTAACACAAACTAATAAGCCAAAAAAAACGCGTTGTGACGAGTATTTTATTAAAGGCACGTGTTGCTTAACGTCTTCATGCAGACGTTGCACCTCAGGGTCGGTATGTTATTCCTTGCTCCTATCGGCACTGAAAGCTCAAAGGGAACCTGGAGCAGTTTCTTAAGAGAACTGAGTTTTATGTCCCCTGAATTCAGTTATCGCACTTGAATTGGGCTGAACCAAACGCAAACCGCTTTTACTTTAAAAGGGAAAAGAAAACGTGGAGGCGCATGTCCCGAGTGAAGCGGTGCCTCTGAGTCTCTGCCGCCTGTTATCTGTCCAAGTCGCCAGGACGTCGTCGTCGGCATCTCCGAGCCTGCTTAGCGGCGAGCAAGGCTCATCTGACCCCGCCCATGACGTCACTCGAGCTAATTCTTTTTTTTTATTTTTTTTTATTTGTGTTTTTCTGCGCTTGGCACGGAGCCGCGGGCGGGGTTTATGGCGCAAGTTTAATTAGCGATGACGTCGCTGCTACCAACATAACCTAAAGAAAACTTAAGAGAGAAAGGTAGTTTTAAGCTGCCTACAATCAAACTCTTACTGTTTATTTATTTTAAACATATTTAGCTTTCTTCTAAAAATGCGAGCCATGGCCAAGTTTAAGCCCCCCCACCCCATTTTTATGTTAAAATTAAAAAAAAAATGAATTTGATTTTAAATTTATTATCGCTAAGCAGCCAATGAGAATGCAGGATTCGTCAATAAGCCCGCCGGAGGAGGAATCACGAAGCAAGAGGCGTGATCAGTGCTTTACAATCTTGCGTCTTGTAGCGAACAATAATAATGATTTTTATGATTATTTCGTATCACCATTTGAAGACTTCGTCTCGTATGACGCAGTATCGCGTGTCATAAGGCGTGTCATAACCCCCACAAACGGCACTGAACGCAGTGGTGGCGCTGTTATCGATACTGCGCATGCGCACTGGCTGACTTGTTTGTAAGCAGGATGACGGTTCGTACGATGTGGAAGTCTCAAAAACGAACCAAACTTTCTACAAAAAACTGCGCGTGCAAAAAAGAAAAAGACAGCTTCGCAATTGTTGCAATTAAACCGCCAGAAAAAAAGAAGAAAAAAAAAAGGGAAAGCGTGAGGATTGACGACAACACAAAGCGATGTCGCAACTTTTGTTTTCTTAAGAAACACACTAACTTTTATACCATTTACAAAAAAACATGTATTTTTTAACATGCTACTCTTGCTACAAAAATAAAAAGCTCCTCGTCAATCGAGACCTAAGAAAGCTCGCTGACACACTTATCTCCAACCCTTAATTGTTGCGATCATCTACGCTTCACAAAACTTTTTGATACGTAGTAAACCAACTATTTTTTTTAATAAAGTCCAACCTGCCATTTGGCCGCAGTTATTGATTTGTATATGCAGGTTTCGTTACGTGGCGTTGTTGTGACAGCGCTTTTTTTTTTTTTTTTTTTCGAGTAAATGTTTGCGTGAATATAAACTCCGTTTCAGATTCGGTCAGATCGCAGCCGACGCTATATATGATCAGATGGACCCAATCAAGCTGCGGGAAAAGTCCTTCGTCACGACACTCGTCGTCTTTGTGTGTTTCATGCTATAAGCGTCTTAACCAATCACGCACACGCCGGATCATTGGGCATTTATTTTGAGTGATTGGTTTATCCGGGGAATAGCAGATGCAGGAAAACGACGGGGGCCTTGATGATACAAGTGTTTTGAAACTGCAACGTTCACCTCGTAACGTATGCCCTTGTTTGTTTGTTTGTTTTCTTGTAGGTGCACCTGCCACCACCGATGTCAGCGAAGGCGTTCAGATCAGCATCAAGCTTCCGGAAGGGGACGAAGTCGTGAAGACGGATGTGCCTAAACGGTCCGCCATTCCCGCGGTAAATTAACTCCCACGTTCATTTTTTTTTTTTATTGTGCATAGCGGTACAGAGAGGAGCCCCTTTTTTCTTTTTCTTTTTTTTTTTTTTTCTAAATGCTGATTAGTGAAAAACTATTCATCCGATTTAGAAACAATTCGTACGGTTTTACATAGTTCCGGATTCATCCATCCCCTCTGAGTAAACCGCTTCCATCCATCCACAACCATCTGAGTAAAGAGCTTCGAGTCAATCCGGAATCCATACTGTATAGATATTTTATTTGTTTCGAATGGATTCGAAACAATCCGAATACATCGTTACGGGTGAATCCGGAACAAGTTGAACGAATTGGTCTCGATAAATCCGGAACAATTTCAATACATCGTTCAGGAAAAATCTGAATGAATCGTTATGGTTGGATTTGGAATCCGCCCGGAATAATTCGCCCAGTCTGATCGCATGATTATTGATAGAGACTGATTTATACCCTTTACGCCGCTCCGTCTTCGAGATGTATGCAATCAAGCGATAACAAGCACCAGAGGTGTAACTAGTTAAGTTTGTTCAGTCCCTCTAACTGCGATCTTTGTCATCGTATATTTTCTAAGCTACAACGACATTTCAATTACGTTAGCGTTCACTTAGTTACATTTTGGAGTAACCAGTAGTTTTGTTCAAATAGAACAATTCCTCAAAATTACGCTGACGGATTCCCATTGATTTTATTTCAACGTCAGCATTACGCGTCTTTACTGCTTCCAACTCTACGTGACCTCGGACTGCTAAATGAGAAGAAAACCTGGCCGATATCTTTTCCGCGTTAGAAACTCAATAGTTGCTCAGAAACCGAGCACCCTCACATTCAAACAGTGCTCGTTAGAAGCGATCGGAACGTGGCTTCGTTATTTGTTCACACGCATGTTAAAAGGCGACTATATTATTCGTAGTGCATACCACATACTTTCGCTTTTAACTATATTTGTTACTTAGATTACACTTTAGCTCCGGTAGATGCACTGCAACTTAATAGGAAGTTTTCGTAGATCGTTTTGGCAGTCCCGCAACGCTTTCCGCAATCCGATACTCGGGACTCTACAGTCAAGGCCATGGGCGCGCAGGCGCAGTATCAGCTTCGTTGCGGCGGGCTTAGCGGAGAGGGAAGCGCGGTTTACGAAAACTCCCTAATTACTCACTAGAGTAGCTCTCACAATTCCGATAGCTTGCATTTACAGCGATAAATTGAAAGCCACGAAGGCAATTTTTTTTTTCTACGCTTGATATTTGTCACAATATTTATAGGATGTCGTTTATCTATTGGGGACTATACCAATGTATATATGACAAAAAAAAGTTGCGATACTATTGCCCTGTAATTATGTTGCTACGTGAAACGTTGTTGGTTTAGCGCTACTGGTGCTAAACCACTAGCGCTAAACTGTTTAGTGGAGTTAGTGGTTAGTTAGTGCTAGTTAGAGTTAGAGCTAGTGTTAGTCAAATTTAGTGGAGTTAGTGCTGCTAACTCCACTAATTCGCGGTCACGCTTTTTGTGGCTTCGCTTAACCTAAATACCAAGGTTATAAACGTTTCACGTTAATATACGGTCGAAAGGCCGCAAATTATACAGCATGTAAACTGTATACCCAACATCATGGTCACACGCCACGGCGCATGCGCGTCAGCGTATCAGCGGCGGGAGGTCAAACCCGCGCATTATTGGATAGGTGGTACAGTGGTTAATATATAAATAAGTACGCGATACGGCCAGTTCAGTACAAAGTTGGAACATGCAGTAGTGTCCTAATGATACTTTTTTTTTCTCCAGTGCCTACGACAGCAACCAGGAACCGTTGAAGATGTGAGTTACATTCTGCTTGTCCTTCGTTTTCATTCAACGTCGACGTATTGTTGTGAAATTTTTGTCCTTTAAAGTTCCTAAAAGTTTATATCTTTTTTTTACCCAATGTTTAGGAAAATGGACTGGTGGTTTCGGCTGACGCCTTCACAAATGTGAGTTCTCAGACTTTATTTACATTAACGAATTTGTGTAAGCTTGCCATTAGTGGATAGCGCTTTTCTGTGTTCGCTCCTCGCAAATTATAGAAGTCAGAATTCGGAATTCATACATATTATAATGCACAGGCAAATTGTGATCGTAAAATATTCAATGAAACAAGAGAGAACTTAAAAGATACATTTGTACAGGAATTTTAAAAAAAAAATAGTAAATCTCGGGAGTTGGCTGACAGAGGTAATACATAGTTATTCATAGATTAGGTTCCCACAGGGGTGAAACAAGAGGTGAGTGAATTGCACCAGGCGCTCACTCTAAAGATGGTATTCGCTGACAAGCTGTGTCTTGACTCAACCAATCAGCAGTTAGGCTCGGGCCACGTCACGTGTTCAGGGTCTCCCTGTCTGTGCATGGACACAGACAGCATGTTCACGCGGGGTGTGAGGTTAACAATTGTCGTTCAGCAAGGCCTTTCAGCACACTGTCAACTTAGGGGCGGACAAAATTTTGTATGAAGCGACAGTGTTGACACCAGGCTTCACGTTCTACAAGCTACGCCGTAGAAACAACAATAAAATACTCGACGGAATAATTAAACTTGTGGTTTATCCAGTTATAAGCATCAATTTTAAAGATACACAAACTGTCGTAAAGGGTGTAATTCAAACCATATGCTACAAGATTTAGATCTGGCGTGTTTCTTGTACCGAATAACATTACAACTTATTTCTGTCTATTGCAGTGCGCCAAAACAGAACTGACGAGGCTTCAGACTGAGATCAACAATCCCGACACTGACGATTCTTCTGAAGAAGCTCCTGAAGATGACGATGCACCGCCAGTTAAGAAAGAGGTAACATGACAGCAAAGCATTTAATAGCGTTATCGAAAGAATATATTTTAGTAGGTCATAAAGTTGATGTCCCCCTCTGATGTCCGAACACACCTTCTAAAATAGATAAGCATCACTCAGCTACGAATACTCATCTCTCAAAGACTAGTCTTAAAAGAACACCTATAGTCGGTGACAAGTCCAGTAGAGGGTCCACCTCCAGAAGACGCTCGTTGCCTCCCGTCGGGCTATAACTGCACGTGCGACGAAGTGTTGTCCAAGGCAGAAATGAGCTTGCGCTCGAGGAGACTGTTACCTATCCACTCTGATTCCTCAATTACCATCACAACCAGCCATCTTTTGACGTAGCTCCTTTTATGTTAAGGCAAGGACTCTACAGCGTGGAAAGGTCTTCAAAGACTACTCCTCACTGGAGGATATCAATGATGATGTCCCTTCATCACCTCCCACCATGCCCGCCACTCTTTACACTTTCGTAGAGAAAACACTGAACGGGAGGTGAGGAGGGACACGCCTCCTGTTCAGTGTTCATTCTGCTAAAGTGGAAAGAGTGGCGTCCTGCAGTTTTAGTCTGTCACCGACTATAAATTTTTTTTTCTAACTGATTAAATCAACGGAAAGTAACGTGCATTTTTGTTTTACACCCTTATTACGTCTTCGGCAAAGCAGAAAGAAGCGGATGTGCCAGAGGCCAAACCAGCCACCAAGGAAGAAGCACATCCCGAAGAGAAGCCCCCGCAGAAGGAAACAGAATCTGCACCCAAGCCTGAATCTGCAGCCAAGCCTGAATCTGCAGCCAAGCCTGAATCTGCAGCCAAGCCTGAATCCGCAGCAAAGCCCGGATCCGCAGCCAAGCCAGTCTTTGCTCCGCCACCAAAGATACCAGACCTGACCAGCATCACGGACGCGTTCGCCGAAGTTAAGCCGATCTCTCAGGATCCCAGCGTGCTGGGAGAAATTGTCAAGATCCTGCAAGTCATCTTCGACTTCAAGCGCGTCTTGAACGACATGCAGCGCATCCTGCACGGAGACCTCAAGGGTGTTCTTCGGGAGTACCCAGAGAGGGCACGAGGATTCTTCAAGCTTGTCCACAACCTTCATCACAGGTTCAAGGGTGCTGCGCACAAGGTCGAGGTTGTCCAGAGATCCAGGTGAGTTGGAACCCATGATCTGAGTTTTTGATTAGCGGTTTGATGACTCAGTATTTTAGGTTGTCTTGTTAATGACAACATATTGAAATATGCAACTTCGAGGGTATAAACCAGTGTTAAATTACATTCTAAGTACCCGATGCTCAAGTCGCCCATCAATTCCCAGATTGGTATACCACAGCTTTTGATATAAGAGGGTATGATGCATCTGCTCCGGTTCAGTCCCACGTGGATGCTACAATATTTCCACGTTTCAAGCTCAATTCTGCGGACTTATAATAGCTATTGGACGTCACGTTGCACATCGTTGCTTACTTTCGAGCCGACCATCGCGTAACTCGTACATAAAGGAAGGTTCACACACACTGCACAACGCTAAATCAGCAGCAGGTACAGCGATGACGCAGCGCTGACTTGTACGTAACTTACCACAGATGCAGTGCTCTACACTAATATAGAGCAGCAAAGTCAACTCTGCACCAGCAAGATCAACCCTACTTCCAACATTAATAGCGTTGAGGTAGCACCGTGATGTATGCTTGAACCGGCCTTGAGTGTCTCACGGGTTTTGAATTCGTACTTCCTCTCTTTCGCGCCAACAGCAACAAGGAGAGCAAGTACTACGGTGTCCTGGACAGCCTGCACAAGTACCTGAGCGCCGCCGCCACCTCATCCGAAGATCTCCCCAACGCGGTGTCCCTGGTCAGCACCGTCGACGCCCTCCGCACCGTCGCCATAGAACTGCAGCACCAGGCATCGGCCGTCGCCGGCCGATCCTCCGCCGCCGCCATCGAAGAAGCGCCCAAGGCATCCGACTCCGAATCTTCGAGGGTCCTCAACGACATCAAGAACGTGTTTCTCCTGATCCCGGACACCTTCCGCTCTTACACGAGGCGTAGTAAGCTGAACGGCGGTCCTGGAATCTTCAGCCCATCTCCGCTGAGTCCCCTGAGCCCCTACAGTCCCCTCAACCCCCTCTCGCCCATTGGCCCGTTCTCGGCGATCGGTTCGCTGAATCCCCTCAATCCGGTTCCTCGGGTGTCGAGGAGGTACAACGATCTCCGGACGAGCAGTCTTCGAGCTGTGGACAGCGTGTCCAAGACCCTTCTCGACCTGTTTTCGAACCGTGGTGGAGGATCCAGGAGGTTGGCAGACACCAGACACGAAGAATGAGCCAGAGACGTTGTGAATGCGAAAGTAGTTTCCAACTATTTGTGGAAGAATGTGAGCTTTTACACCAGCATGGGATCAGGGAAGAAATGATCTCTATTGAAGTAGGCGAGCCTGCAGTAGAAGCTTATGATGTAAAAAGATCTTGCTGTCCAAGAAAACTGTTTTCGGGCCGTTTGATCTCCTCCTACTTATGCTTGATGCTCCTCAAAGCATTTTGAGCTAGGATGTCAAAAATTATTATTTGGAAGTTAGTTAAATTTCCGCTATCTGTGGGCTCACATCGCTAGCCCTGTAAAAACAAATTTGTGAAAAAAAAAAAAAAAACGACAACACCGCAAAACGTGTTTTGAGGAATCGTAAATCTGCCCGAAATAATATTTTTATGCCCTTCGAGCCTGGTGCAGAATTTCGTCCACTTGATATTGTTTCATTCTTGCTCATTCTGTTCCAAAGAAGAAATGTTATTTATTTTACCCCCAACTTTTAGCGTCTATCACGTGTGATTGTTTGTAGAACAATAAAGGTTTTCTGACGCGAATAATTATCAATTTAATCAAACATATCTGGTCCTGTCAAGTTACTCTGATCTCGACCCGTAGTACTCATTTTTAGTACAAACCTATCGTTCAAGGGTTCAATCCTTCGATGTCGTACAATCGTGGTCCGTTTCTGCACATGTATTGTCAGAAATCGCAGCGTTATATGGCATATCTATAGGGAGCTCAAGTTTGTCCGCTTCCTTTACATGGGATATGGTGAGGTCAGAACGAAGAGCTCTGATTGGCTCTGACTAAAGGATAATAATGGGTAGACCTCAAAGCAAGCTGCCTGCAGATCTACACACTATCCTTCAATCAGAGCCACTCAGAGTTCGGCATTCAACACAACCACTTGCTCAAGAGCCAGACGAACTTGCGCTCAGCATATGCATAAGGAATCTGATTAAATCAACAACCAAGTGAAATTGCGAATTCTCGTTAGTCTATTGGCTAACCTGTCTGAAAGCCACAGGAAGGAATCGGAGAATATTCCATCGCATCTCTCATAACTTCAAGAGAATTGTATCTAAATACGATGTGCCGGTTGTGTTTTCAGCCCCCGACAAGCTAACAAAGCTTTGCCCCAAAGACAACACCCCGTGCACAAAGCCTGACAAATGCAGTGTTCGGCACTGCAACAAATACGTCAACTGTTGCAGCGGAGTCGTGTATTTGATCCCGTTCACCTGTGGGAAGGTTTATGTGGGACAGTCGGGAAGATGTATCAACGTAAGAACTCAGAGGACAAGCGCTATCTCTAAAATCCTCTCCGTCGTGGCATCTCGCTCTACGTGTGAGGGACTGTGGATGGCTCTACGTGTGAGGGACTGTGGACTCCCAGGAGACTAGGGAGAAGGAAGTGACGTAGGTGTGAATGAACGTGTCTTAGCAACTTCTGCAGATACCGTCATCAGCGACTACACCAATCAAGTTCCAAAGAGCGTTGTTGACGTCACTTCCTTCTCCCCAGTCTCCTGGGAGTCCAAAACATGCAACATAGCCCCCCAGCACAAGGATCCTGAGCAGGTGTCCAGATAAGCGAACTCGTGAGAATCTTGAGGCTGAAGTCATTGCGACCAAAGGAGACGCCTGCATCAGTGCTCCATCGGTGAATTTGTCATCAAAAGAATTAGAAGATCGTGAAATATTTTTTCTTATTCTTAATTTGCTTTGCCTTCCTCTTTCTTCTTTTTTCTTAATTTTTTCACAGCCATTTTTTTTTCATTGTTACTTTAATCATGCACACCATTTCCTTTTGTTTTTACTAATTTCCTTTTTTTTGCATTTTTAAATTCTCAGTTTTTTTTTTTAGATACTTTCACTCCTTTCTCATAAATATTTGTAACATTTAATGTTAGAAAATCTTTAGTGTCTTCGTCTTCCTCATCTTCGGAATTAAAACGTCAGTTGCGAGTAACCGCTTGTGCTGTGTAGTCTCCCTCTTGTCCTTGTCTTTCGCGTTTTTTTTTTTTTTTTTTTTTTTAATTTCGTAAAGTTTAACCAACTAGGCCATCAAATCATTTTGTTACATGCGCTGTTTTTCTGTGGTGCAGCATATCGGACTCTGCGAATGCGTCCACAGCTGAGTGACTCAGCATTTTACGCCCGGGTGATAAGTGATGCGAAGGTCTACAGCGCTGGCTGCAGTCGTTAATCTGAAACGGAATATATCAGCGCTCATGTACGCGCAGACATTAGACGCGAGCGTGGCGCTCGCGGCTAGACTGCCAGGGGGAAGTGGAAGACGCCAAGACGTATAGTGCCTGACGGTGATGCTCTGACATAATCGGCTTGCACCTGGATAAAAAAAGACGCAAAAGAATATACATATATAAAGATTGCCTAGGACGGAGCTAAAAGGGAATAAAAAAAGAGAGAGAGAGCCTTTGTGTTATGGCCAGAGACGTGTTTCCTCGTAGGTACTACGCGCAAACACTCTTTTCTAATGCCTCCTCGTACTCTTGGGTTTCTAATTGGCGTGTTTGTCCGTCCTTTCGAAGGACGACGCGTGTTTGTACCTGTGGCAAAATGCTGGCAGGTGCTCGTCGTGAGAGCCTGGAATTATGGCAGTGCTGCGAAGTCATTGCTTTTCTTGCGCGTGTCCGTTTCTCTTTTCTTTTTTTTTTCTTTTTTTAAGCTTGACCCTCTTGAAAAGTACGCGCCATCTAGTTGCCGTTGCGCCGATTATCCAAGACCGCCATAATTCGGACATGTACTCTGAGCACGTATTGGACACGGTATATGCTTGCGTCGGCGTTCGGCGTGAACTCAGCTCCTGTCGTACCGAAAACGAGTGCTGCATCAGTGTTCGACGAAGACTCAGATCCAATCACACGCTTTGTGACCGGGAAATGGCGACCGCCAGTCTCACTTGATGAACTTCTAAAAATGACCCATTTGCTTTAGGATTGTGAGTACGTGGTCGTCGAAATGCCGAAGGAGGACTCTTAAAGATTAAAGAGACCGAAATGACGCACTGTTTCCCATTAAAGGCTGCAGACTCGCAAAACAACCGGTGACTCACCGAACTGATTCGTTTCCGTCGCTTTTAAACTCGACTCGTGGAGAAAATGCGTAGACGAGGGGACGTTATCGCTAGGCATAAACGCTGACGCATTTGCGTCATAGATTCCCAACAACATGTCGTGAGGTCGTCGTCTATGCTCCACTAACCAACGGGATGACGTAGAAAGGACGTGTTGATTAACATTAACCTCCTTTAGTATTCTTAAAAAGAAATAAACGGAAGTCTCAAAGAAGGAAAAGAAGAAGATGGCAAAGATATGGTGAGTCTGCTGGACGATTCTCCTTCACGTGTGTTCCAGAATTATTCGAAATTAACAAAACGAGCACGTACCAATCGTCACTATCGTGTTGTGAGGATCGTTTCTCACCTATCGACTTACATATCGTTCGTTTGAAGTGTGCATTAAATTCGAATGGCTGTACATCCACAGCGACTAAAGGCTAGTTAAATGGAACCCTGGCCCTGTCGGTATTGATACTCTTTATTTAGCGTTATAGGCCTATAGCGCTACATCAGAAAAGGCCGCAGGCCCTCGCTCATGTGTTTTTTATTATTCGGAAATTACTAATCAAAGCGTACATATATTCTACGAAACACCCGTTTCTTAGAAGATATTTTGATTTCCTTGATAATAGGAACGTAGTACCGGCGTCGGTATTGTACCAGGTCGTTAAAAACGGTAACCACCAACACACTGATATTCAACAATCGTCAATCGCGGTGTTCTAAAAATGTTTCGATGTCACTAAAGAAAAATAAATTGACGCCTTCGGTTACAAAAAAAGTACAATGAAGGATGTACTACATGAGACCACACTGAAATATTCTAGGTATGTGGATCAGTAAACACAAACTCAAAAACAAAACTAGTGGTGGAAAAATTCGACGCAGTATGACCTTGGGGATGGTTAAGAAGCGCACACAAAGAGACGAGGACAAACGAGGAAGGAACAGAGAACACAGACAGGTGCGCACTCACAGCTCTGGTATATTAAGTGAAGAAAAGAAAGATGAAGCACAATTGACCTTGGGGGTTGTGAGCTGAACGATTTGCGCGCCTAGCTTAAAGAGACAACGCAATGTCTCGTTTTAAGGATGCTCAACGACTGGCGCCTGTGTTCAAGACCGGCGTTTAAGACCCTATATCTGCCGTTGAGCAGTAGCAGACAGTTTGAAGATCGATAAATAACTCTATTTCACTTCTAGAAAACGAAAACAAATTCATGTAGCGCATTTTTCTTTTTTTAATTCTGGCTGTTGCTGCGTGAACAAGATTTTAGTAAGCATCACTGCATATATTTCCTGCTAACTGCTTATTGCATGCAAACCTAGATTGATTTTCTTCAATCATCTTTAAATAAGCACTTGGTATTTCTAATACCTTCTATATTTGAAACAAAACGAAAAGTTGAGAAAGCTGTCATGAGGATCAAATGAATGGCCATCAGATGTGAGTACCCAAGTCGCAAGCCGCAGGACCATAGTTACTTTCTGCGATAGTCTACTTATATCTATGGGCTCTAAGCAGCCTATAAAACCAAACATTTCATTCATACAGGGCCGATTTCAATATTAAAGCCGGTGTCAAAAATCAACTGCCTCGGAACTATCGCAGACACCATCGAAGCCCTTCTCCTCGTCTGATGGCGCTCTCTATACGTCTGCGATATTCTAAAATATTCTGAGCTTAAATGGTAAAACAAATAGGCTAGGTGGCGTAAGCTACCGCCCGATCCAAAGGGCTCAGCCAGATTCATCCATCCATCCATCGATAGTTCCCAGGTAATCGAACTTTTGATACCGATTTTAATGGAGAAATCGGCCAAACATGCGTGTAATGTTTGGTTTTAGAGGATACTTACAGCCCATATATTGAGTTATCCCCCTAATTCTATTGAAAAATCCGGCAAAAACTTCCAGTGACACTTTCTGCGATAGTCTATAGACTATCGCAAAAAGTGTTCGAGCGAATTGGGCCAATCAGTACGAGCCATATCCGCAGCGTAATGGCGCTCGTCATCTTTCTGTTTGTGTGCTATCGTCTGCCAAACCAATAAAACGCAAAGGATGCATCGTTACAGTTTGTTCCTAAGTGGGTATGTGTATGGTTTGGAGACTTTGACTTTGCTCTTCACTAAAGACTGGGTCACACTGCTAACACATCATACAAAAGACAGTCCGCATAAGGATTCGAACCCGAGTCATCGCGAGATTTGTGCTTCGAATGCCGCATGACAATGAGTTCAAGGAGGAAACTTTGGCACGCGGACTTCGAACCATGGACATTGCGGTGACTCGTGGTTGCAGACTGTCGTTTGTATGACGCTTCAGACGGGGCAATATCTCCCAGCAACTTGACGTCGCAACACCATAAACACGGGCCGCCCGAGTTCACAAGCAGCATCCGAATTGCTACGGTTTGCCATCATCATCATCGTTAACTTTTAATTTTCTTGCACTGTTTAGACACGCAGTTACGCGCTATAAACGTG